TGAAGCCTTCTTTTTGCAAACTGTTCCCATTTTTGCTTAAAGATTTTCCACGTTTTTTTGGCCGTATCAAGTCACGTGACCTAATTTGCATAAGTTTGATAAGTCAAAAACAATCACTTTAGAAGATGTATTTGTCTCCCAAAAGTTTATGTTGTCATGAACCAAGCCTCAGAACGTAGACCACCCCCTAACTGTTTTGAGGAAAATAATTGCTGACCCATGCCTTAATTTTCCTGAGTCATATTACTGGGCTTAAATATAAAGAAATTCTAGCGATAATACACTCAAATCGCGCTAAAATTGCAGCCGGTTACATTTCAATAAAAAATCACCGAAGATCAGATATCGTCTGCATTTTGTGAAAGTGGTCTTTACTAACAACGAAAGCGTTAGCAAATGATCATGTTATTTCAACTGATTTCAAAGTTCAGTCCTTCCGGGAAAATCTCAAACCTTGGCCTTCTCCTGCAAAGACCTCACTATCGTTGAATAAGTGGTTGGTAAACCCGGGTGGGAAGCTAAGGTAACTAAAAGGTAACTTTTACGTCGGACCAGTGGCTCATAAAGGCGGCCGGAGCTTATCCCAGTTTCTGTAGCATGAAGCGAATAGGAGTAATTGTTCTCCCCCCTGGATGGGACGGTAGTCCATCGCAGGGTTACCCCCCTCTCTCTGCACCCATTTATCACCCAGGTTGAGAGACACACTGCGAGAGTAATATGTATCCCCCAAGGACTTAGGCTAGGACTTGAATCCATAGTCGTGCAGCCCGCTAACCATTGGGCCATCGCGCTTTCACAAAACGAGGGAGAGGCAAATGAATATAGAGGTACAAGTCGAACAGCAACTCGGAGTCTGATATAGCATTTATTACTCTTTGAGAATGGGAGTATTTTAAGTTTCTCGTGCTAAAACAAACTGCTGTTCTGTCATTTCTCATTGTCTCCACAACCACAAGCGTATTTAGGGATCTGGGTTGAGTGCTAGAACCCCGCTTTTACTAACACTTTGTAGTGTCAGTGGAGACGCTAGAAAACCAACTGTAACTAGTGAAATATTTCATGCTGATTTCAAGCCCACAAATGAAAAAAAAAATTTTCCTTTGCATTTGCGTTTTCTATATACAGTCAAACCTGTATTAAGTTGACCCCATATTAAGCGGCTACCCTCTATTTAACGGACAGCGATGCAAGTCCCATTTTTTTTCTTTCGCACATTCACTGTAAAAAATACCTGTACTCAACGGACACCTCTATTGAGAGGTCGCGAACACCTTAAACTTGGCTTTTATGGTCTATTGTTAGAAACCTGTATTAAACGGACACTGCAAAGAGAATGCATGATTTTTTGTCCACATTTAATAGATCGGTCATTTAAATTTTCCAAAAAACTCAGCTTCACAGAAATGCAATATTTTATTATTCAGGCTTGTTTCTACAGTACTTTTCTCGTTCTTGTTTGATTTTGTAAACCTTCACATGACTCGATTAATTTAGATACTGTTGCTATATACTTAAATCGCCTTACCTCATCTACTTGTCATTGTTTATGGAAATATGGTACGGTATTTCAGAGTTATCGACCGTTCACGAGAATGCTATTTAAACCCTTCCAAAGTCTTTTAATACTGACGGATATTAATGACCCGTTTAAGACGAATTCTGAGGGAACCTGTTTTCAGCGGACACCCTGTATTAGCGGACACTAGCCCGGGTCCCGAGGGTGTCCGCCTAATACAGGTTTGACTGTACTATCATGCTATATTTGAACACCAGCCACCGAACTTCTTGCAAATTCACCTGAATCCCAGTCGTATTTTAATCATAGAAAATATGACGTCAATGAACTCTAGCACCGTTAGCAGACTGGCGCCAACACAGAGGCCAACTTGACCACCGATTTCACCTAAAATTAAAAACATACAAGAGAAGGCCTTAAATTCTAAATTAGTAAAAGTTTTATAGTTTCAAGTGAATATATGAAATATCATATATCTGAACTGTGGAGAAAGATATGAAGACATTGTTGATCATCGCAGTTATACACACAACTTAGGCAGTACGTTGTGAAATTAAAACCTGAAAAATCAATCATGTCTTCATATCTTTGTCCGCAGTTCAAATATATGATATTTCATATATCCACTTGTGTCGTCATGATCTACGGGTATATTACAAACTCACAGCATGACCAGTTCCCATTTGACTTGATAGCTCATCTGGTAGAGCACTTTATCGGCTCATAATGTGTTGTAAATAATCTCTTAATTCGACATGCAAGAAGCCAAGTGAAATCAGAGAATCAACGGATGACGCAATCCAAGAGCGCAATCTCATTAGCAAGGCCAGTATGGGGCAGTAAGACATATGACTAAGCAATGACGTAAGCTCAGCTCGTATAGAGGAATCTCTTGATGAGTTTTACTCACATACAATGAATCCACTAACAAGGCTTATTTAAAATGAACCCACTTACCTAACAGACTTTCTGAATCATAAGCTGGTATCTCTTGAATAAGCTGGTAATTCAGTTCTTGGAAGTATATATGGAGTTGTACATTGTTCTGACTATTGAAATAAAGTAACAAGGAAAACTGAAAACACTAGTTGATGGTAATCTTATACTGTTCGTAACAGCCCAGGCTTAACCTCTGTATTTCTAGACCAGAGCTCTTACCGCTTGACCAAATTCACATTGCTAAAAGTTTCACCTAGCTTCCTAGCTTCCTGTTCCAAAATAAACGAGGATCTAGGCTCGATTATTTCAACATCGAGCTCCTGTGTTCCACAAATATATTGTGAGACTGGAGGCTTGCCTTCTTTTCACCAGTGACTTTATGACGTGCAAGAAGAACACTACGCTATCGTTTCGGTTTTCGGCTGCGTTATGCAAAACGTCTTCGCAGCGCATGTAGTTTTAGGAAAGAGAGCAATCCTGTACACGGGCGATTCTTGTCGCGCAACTGAATGCAACTTTTGACGCGCCGAAATTGTAATTCACCTGAGTTTCTTTGCGATTTTTATAAGATTTGTCGAAAACGAAGCGAAACTGCTGCTCAAAGTGAACGCGTTTCGTAGGTTGCTTTCCGATTTCGGCGAGTCGCGGAGATAAATCGCACTCATTGATACGCGCAATTTGAAAGCTGCAAAGTCGGCACGACAAAAATGCGCGACAAAAATGTAAACGGGCCTTTATAAAACCCCCAAAAAAATGATGTGGAATTGTTTTTAACCAGCGATATTTGAAAGACTGGTTAAATGCAGATCATGGGAACAATGTTTATAAAAGCGAAGTAAAAAATGCTCCGACATGAGGGAGATAGGATTAGTAGTACTAGTGGTAGCAGTAGCAGGTAGCAGCGTCGGTGACTGCATGGTTGTCGGCATGCGTAGATATGTAGATTTTAAAAGCCAAAAGTGGTCTCTCGGAGTAATAATGGGTTGTTTCATGTGCCCATTGAAAGTTCTAGTGGAATAATTCACCCACTTTTCCTGGACTCGAGCACGTACCTCATATATTCTTCTGCACCTTTGATGACTTCTGGTGTTATCATCGGTGAGTTCGGCGGGTAGAGGTTTTTAACCACACTTGATACAAGGCTGCTGCTCGGAAAAGCAGCGTAGGAAAGGGCAGGCTTGAAAGTTATCGAATCACATGGCACTGGGCAGTCGCACTGGTAATCTTTCAGCATGTAAAAGTTATCTGAAAGATACAGTACGCGAAGATGGCAACTGACAGCATATATTGAACATCGGAGACATATCTCTTTTTGATTACATCGAAGTATCTTTGGATTTCCGAAAGTTGACACAGAACAAAGAAACAAACAATTACTCTTATTACGTACTTTTTTCTTTCACTAAGCAATCTGCTGCTTCGTTGATATCACACACTTTGGTATTGTTTAAATCTGGTCAAAAACAAAAAGAATGAAAATTAAAAAAACAAACAAACAAATAAACAAAAAGAGAAAAAGACGCGTCATCATTTCACACCAACTGCATTCTTTTTAATTTTTAACTGCCAAATTATGGAACTCTCTTCAAATCCGGACTCGCTTAGAACTTCTACTTTTGCGGATTTTAAGCGAAAGATATTACAGTATTGTATAGTATTGTATTGTATTGTATTGTATTGTATTGTATTGCATTTTGTTATATTTAGATTATCGAAGATATTAGCTAATTTTAGCTACTTCAGTAAAAGTTCGAGAGGAAATAAAGTGTATGTATGTATGTACCATTGGCAATTTAACGTGCTAGCTAGATTTAGATCAAGGAAGGAGGGAAGAAGGAAGGAATCGAGAGGACAACGTACAATAACTCGAAGAGTTTATCTTGTACCACCAAATTTAAAAAGGAAAACACTTTGAAAGTTACATTACATCCTTAAAGTCTGTGTTAGATTTCAAGTTTAACATGGGATACGAGCAACCTTCTGAGAAACTTACCAGGCATTCCTGCTTCTCTGCATCCACACTTTTCAATCACAAACTTAGTCTGGCAAATCAACATGCAGGAAGGAATTGTGTATTTCGGATAACCGGGAATAATGCTGAAAGTTTCGTTAAAGCAATTGCTCTCGTAAGGGTTAGGAAGGTTGAGAACCTAAAAAAAGAAGGAAAACTGTGAGAAGATTTACTTCCAATCAGTAAAGCCTTATCTTAAAAAGGACCTTTGCATCTGTCGTTTTCTTGCATCGATTTGTGGCTAGCAAGTACTTAGACCTTGAACGTGAACACAAACCTCTACCTAAGACACAAATAGTTTTGCAAAGCAAGATTGTTCCAATCGATTTTAGAGGTCATAAACGCAAATAAAACTTCAAAAAAATGTTATAGCAATAGAACTTCGATTTTCATTAGCGATTGCAGAACTGAAAAAGTAGTTTGTAATAGTTAGAAATAAAGAGCTGGTCATGCAATAGAGCAATTGAGTGTCAAAAGTAATTGGTTTTGCATTTGCTACGCTACACGATTGGCTTAAAAAACTCGCGCCACTTTTTCATCCAATCAGAAGTATAACACCAAAACCAATCATGACTACCTGGCACGTGTTTTCTTTTCCCGCGCTTTGCGTCAACTACATGTAATTGCTTCGAGTGTTGATTGGTTCATTGTATTGTCTGTGTCTTTTATGATTGGCTAGAGTGATTACTTTGGTTTTGGTTTTACGACACTGAATTGAAAACCGATCTAATGTTACATAATTCCTCACCCTTTGTTTACGTATTGCGGCAAATGTGCTCGTACCGGGACCCACTGCAAAACCAAGCTGAGAAACCATAGGTGGTGTCCCCTGGTGATGAATGAGAATCTTGAATCCTGTTTGAGACGAAGTTACACCATAATATTCTTGTCGATGTACGTTTAATGTGACCTGAAGTCCAAATGCCGAGCCAGCCTGCCTCACTTTCAATATGCTCTCACCATCCTTCCCTTAAAAAAAATGAAAATACCAATGTACGGTTTTAAATCAACCAAACTTTTGTAGCAGGCCGTTTGTTCAACAGGTTGTTACTTTTAAATGGACTTCCCCCTAATGAGTGGGTTTTAGGGAATCTTAGAAATTGTGGGATAAAATTGAACAGAAAGTGCTCTGGCTCAGTCAGTTACTTTTCCGAAGTAATTTTCAATGGTAAGGTGTTAAGTTACAGAGAATTAATCGGCGAGTGCATCAATAGCTCATCCACTCGCACAACTGCTCAGTAGCTGCCAGACCATCTAAGTCTGAATTAAGCTCAGTCGATTACTTTGTAATGTTCACCAAAGTGTTTGTCCTTAATATGCTGATTACAAGTGGCCTACGTGAGTTCAAATTCAGCTGGAGATGACGCTAAAGTACGCGATTTTGGTCACTCTTCTCTCTATTGGAGAGGAAACGTTCCCATCACTCATGATTATTTACTTTCCCTGAGTGTTGCCCTCCTGGTTTTGAAACCAAGATACATTTTAAAAAGTAACTCATTTTATTATATAAACACTAGTGAAATACCAAGATTTCTCCTTTTACTAAAAAATCATATCTTCACCGCGCGCAATGAAGATACTATTTTTATCTTTCACGTGTGAGGATATTAGTGTCGCCATGGTTACTAACATGATAATCGCTTAAACTGAACTTAGATGTGTTGCTGTGATCGAAACATCATCTGATCTTCCTCGGATATCTTCGGTAATCTTCGGAAAATGTTCGGAAACGTTTGTCTGGCCTTCGCACAACTTTTGGAGAATCTTCGGAAATCTTCGGAAAGTGTTCGGAAATCTTCGGAAAATCGTAAAATATTCGTCATTAGCATGTTTATATAATAAACAGAATATTACATGCCCGCTTGTGGTTACGAATTTTATCTTCTCGTGTTCAACTCGATATCTCACGAGTTCGCTGCGCTCACTCGTGAGATATCGAGCTGAACGCTCGAAAATAAAATTCGTATCCACTCGCGGGCATGCAATATCCTCTGCATAAGTAACATTTTAGAACGTAAGTTATTATAACTTTTATGTTGTGCTGTCATGTTTCAAACGTCTAAATGGAAAGTTTCCATTTAGATCTTCTGTAGCCAAATTAAAATGTCAGCATGCATGCATGTAGAACCTTATTTTTTGTTTATTCAGCCGGAGTCAACTCATTAATAACAAAAAGAAAACAAAAGTGAAAGGCAAACACAATCTGTCTTTTTTATGCTCACTGCCAAAGTGGATGCTTTGTGTACTGAAAATGGAACAAGGAATGTTTTGTTTCTCCATAATTGCTCTTTTAAGAAAATACTGTACATCAAACTTTCGTGTTAATCTTGACGTTGTTCAAAAAGGTGCTTATTTATAATAAAACGAAAGTTATAGGCAATTACCTTGCTATTTATTTATCCCTATCGGGAAATTGTTTGAAACACGTATTTCAAAATTGGATGAAATCATAGTTATAGAGGGAAACGGTTATGTAGTACGACAAAACCCTTGAGTGGTTAAGGACTTGAAATCCGGGAGATTACGGGTTAAAGTCCGGCTCTGACCACTAGCTAAGCTTGAGTTGTTTCCCGGTAGACCCTAGTTCAACTTCTCGGTCATGCTTGTAAATAGTCAACTGGTCTTGCCTCCAGCCAGTTGAGATTTTGAAACCTATTATATTTAGTTGATGTATTTGTTACTTTCAGTCTAAGTGGCATCCCTGTGAGCTAGCTAGGTGTAGCTAAGCGCTATAAACTATAACCACTATAAACAGCAACATTTGAACATTATTTTGACCATTTCTGTGTTTGGTCGTTTCGTTCACTATTTTTCCTTGACAGTACACAAAACACAATACACTGTAGATGTTAACTTTTGCCTGACCATCTAACCAATAAAGAAACGTTTCATTTATGTAATTCATGCAATTTCTAACAGAATACTGATCTAGGAAGTTACGGCTTGCAGACCTACCTGAATTGAAGGTATGGCAAAGGCCCATAGAAGTCAGTACGGGCGTGAAATTCCTGTAATCACAAAACGTTCCACTCCAAACACAACCCTGTAAAGTGTCGTTAATTTGATGCCCCGCAAGCCAATCGAATTCCGTAAAGTTAAAGTTATGATGCTCACCGAAGTCTACGGTGTAATTTTCGGTGTTCAATCCGAATACTTTCCTCTCATATTGATTCAAAAGCTGGTCGTACCCTTTTGCCATAATAACAGACCTTTTGAATCGGTTAAAGTTACAAATACTGACCGCTGGAAATTCCGGAGAACCTTCGTACACTAACGAAACTTTTGTAGTCACAGGATGACTGAAATACTTTCTTAAAAGCTTGGATGACTGAAACGAAAACCACACAATTGCGGCAACAAGGAACAGAGCCCAGAGAATGCGACGTACCAGCGTTCGGCTGGTGAACACATACTGAAGACCGTGAAGGGTGGAAGATCCAACAAACACGCGCCAGGTCTTTGTTATTGCAACTGATGTAGTTGGGTCTCGAGATGCCGTCTCTCTACTCTCGGGTTCAACTTTGTTGGATTTTATCGCCTTGTTAGTTTCTTTCTCTTCATCAGTTCTGTCTAGCTCGATTTGTGTTATTTCTGATTCCATTTTAGCGCCCTCTTCACCTACCGGACTGTTTATCTTCACCAAATCCCAAGGTACAACCTAAGGTATTATTATTTAAATGCAACCCTTTTAAATAATACCCTACCAGGCGAGATATTTGCGCAAGTTATTTCGTGATAAAAGCATAGCCGAGGGCAATTATTGAAGGATTTACACCCCGAGTGATATTTGAAAATTCGCTTATCAAATAATTTTCAAAAATCAGTCGAAGTGTAAATCCTTAACTAATTGCTCAAGATTTCATACGGTTACAAATATATTGTAAGACTGAGAAAATTACGAACTGGCGCACGTTAATTTGCTTTGCAGAGCAAATTTAAAACTTAACGAACAATTAACCTGCTCTCGGCAAATCACAGTGAAATAATTTTCCAAGTCATATAACTGTCAAGCTCTTAATGGATGAGTTCTTAAAACTGGAAATGATTTAAAAAAAAAAAAGAAACGAAACAAAAATCAGAACAAAAAAGTGCATTTTCACTCTTTTTCTTGCGTTCTTTTAATTCAATAAATTAAGTGCTCGACAATTTTCCATTCTATATCGACCATGTTAAAAGCTAGAGTTAAAAAAAAATGACGACTTCAAAATAAATGACTTATTGAATTCACAAATTAGGCTATTGTAGTTTTGGCTTTCTGTTTGGCTCACAGACTGCAGTTAACAGCAAATAATGATCTCATGTGGAGCAACTTCTTAACGCAACCCCACGCCAAGATAATTGTTTATCAACGAATTAATGTTTCCTTTGCACGGTTACCTTCTTTGCGCGGCGGCCTCATGGTTAGAAAGCAGTGAAACTGCAAACCACCTAAATTTCCATAAATCGACCTAGAAACCTACTCGAAACGAGGAAATACTCACCTGAAGCAAGGTAGGTTTATTTTTTTACATACCCTTTCTTACTCTTTTAGGCGTAAGAATATAACTGTTTTCCCATACAAATCCTTATATTTCTACTGTTGCATAAGCTGAGAACCACTGTATGTACAGGGAAGGACGCTCATTTGCGAGCTTGGGCCATCTGTGATCACGGTAGAAAAACTCAATAGGGTAGTAATTGATATCAAGGTAAAATTTACATCATCATGGCAGAAAATTAACATCAAGATAAAATTTACTTCACTGCATTATTAATTGATATCAAGGAGTAATTTACTGCGGGGTAGTAAATTAACATCATCATTACAGTTAGTAGATTATTCAGACTACCATGATGAAGTAAATGCTACTTTGATATCAGTTTATTTCTTTGACGCAATAAGTTATATATCTTGATATTAATTTACTACCGGGCTGAAATATTGCAATAAATTTAGGACATAATCAGCATCACAGTAGAAAATTGGCGGTACACTCTTTCTTGTTTATAAGAATATGTTTTATAACAATATCGAGGCTGAAATTTGTGAAATATTAAGAAAATTTTAAGAATAAACCCGAGGCTAAGATTGTGAAAAGAATATGATATAAACTAAATCCTATAAAATTATTCCCTCTAAACTGCAAAACTAGCCAAAAATCAACAAAACCAGCACCAGCCGTGTGTTCGATACTAATACACCTTATTCCAAAATGGCCGCCATTTTAGTACTCTTTTGTTTACTTGAAAATGAGCCCTTGATGCCTCGTTTAAGGGAAAATATT